CAGAGAGCTGGTGTTTATTTGGGGTTTTGCTAAAGACAGAGGTAGTCACTGAAGTTACAATGGCAGCTTGTGGCAGCTGAGGCCACACAGTGAGGATTCTTTGCATAGTTACCCATGTTGTACATGGAATTGCATGTACGTGTACATTAACTGTTTTGTCACGTTTGGGAACTTCTCATAGCCACACAATTCTCAGACAAATTCTGTGAAATACATACAGGAAGTCAATTAGAATGAAGGTGATGACTAGAATGTTTTATGCTGCTGGATTCATGGCAGCCTTAGTGTGGTGTCTGTGAGTACAGTACTACCACTGCTGTGCCACTTGCATAGCGAGCTTTGGCAAAACCACCTTTTGTGCATCATTCCTGCTCTTTTGAAATGTGTGGTCAGAAGTGGATTTGATAGGTCATGAGCTTCCATGAGTAGCAAGGCAATGTACCAGCTGTCTCCAGGCACAGTGAAAAGCTTCATATTTTATAAATTTATTTAATATTGCTAAGATTTAATCTTTTGTTAAAAGTGCCTGATGTTTGCTAAATCAAGATATATAAAGCATCTGAAAATATTTTTGATGTCCTTGCAATCTTGGAGTTTTTAGACTTAGCTTCTGAAACTACATTCTTTCTGTGAAAGCATTTGCATTGTTTCAACTAAAAGTACAGTTGTTTGTAACATACAAACTGGACATGAGATATTGCTTTGCAGTAGTCACTAATCTGCTGATGAATGAGTCTTGTAGAGATTGGAAGGGATTTATGTAGGCTGCAAATAGAATAGAATGAGTTTCAAAAATGTAAGCAATTTAAAATACTGCTTGGATGTGAATTAAAATGTTCAGAAGCCACACACAGTTGCTTGAAATCTTGATCCTTTTTATCCGCCCATAATGCCATCATTGTGTTTGTTTTCCCAGAGTATGTTTGTCCACCCTAAAATCATACTAAATCAGGTTTCTGAGAGACAGATGTCATCCTGAGTATTTTACTATGTGAATAGGCTCTGCTGTGCTGGAGGTTAGTGTCTCGGGAACTTTCTAAGGGCGTAGATGCACATCTTCTGACCTCACAGGTAACAGCAGTAGTCATCTCTGCCTCTTTCTTCTGTCTTTGGTACAGTTTAATGCTCTGTTTTCTGTGGTTTTCACAGGTTCATGTGATGGCTTCTACCTTTTAAGTCAAAATAATCCTTCTTAGCAGAGACCGGCTGCTTTGCATTTTAAGCTTGCCTGCTGTTCTTTAGGAGTGAAAAGCAGGAGTGGCTGGGCCATCTGATGAATAATCATGCATTTACTCAGTTCTATCATGTGCTACTTTGAGCTGTTTTTGAGAGGAACTTGAGGCTCTGACTTTGAGGGGTATGGTGTAACTGGTGAGATTTATTCCCAGGTGATTACAGTTCACATTGCAAAAATTCCTTTTGTACTTTGTCTGAATGCTGTGATGATTGGTGTATAATGTTATAGGTATACCATGTTCTACTTTGGAGAATTTTGTCTTGCAGAGAAAGAACAAAGACAGCTGAAGCTGAGTGAAAGAATAGGTCTTGTTGAAGAGCAGGGTTTACATCTCTATTTACTGTGTGATATTCCAACTCATGAGTCTTTACGTCATAGAACCAAAGAATACCCAAATATTTTATGATAACCTAAAAAATTGTTCCTCAGGCACTGGTAAAATGGTTGTTATATGGTGAGAAAGTTGAAAGTATTGGATAAGCTTGAATTTTCCTTTCCTGACTTATATTATTGGTACTTCAAAGGACTGTATAGCTGTCTCTTTGCTGTGTCTGCAATGTCATGGGCATCCACTGAAAATGTCAACGAATGGATTAACTTGTTACTTGTCAAGGTATTTCTATATGATCCGAGTGTCTGCCTTCTGTGTGTTTGTGAGGTCAGTTCATTGTCCAAAGGCAACAGTGAGTGTAACCTGCTTTACTGTGTTGGGATCAGGGTGACTCTGTAACTGCAAAGAAAGGAGGGTTCATCTAGGCTGTGTGCAGTTTTGTGTGCCACTCTGAAAAAGGTCACTTGCTAATTTCAGCCTGGAGAAGAGGTGGCTGAGGGAAGACCTGGAGTGGTCTGTAGCTTCCTCATGAGAGGAAGCAGAGTGGCGGGCACTGATCTTTTCTCTGTACTGACCAGTGACAGGACTTGAGGGAGTGGCCTGAAACTGAGTCACGGGAGGTTTAGGTTGAATATGAGAAGAAAATTCTTCACACAGAGGGTGTTTGGGCACTGGAACGGGCTCTCCAGGAAAGTGGTCACAGCACCAAGCCTGACAGAGTTCGGAAAATGTTTGGACAATGCTCCTGGGTACATAGTGTGCTTATTTGGGGCTGTTCTGTGCCATGGTAGGAGTTGGACATGATGAGCCTTGTGGGTCCCTATCACCTTAGCACAATCTATGATTTAAAAAAAAACCAACATAACCTCTTAACCACTATGTAACATCTCTGTAGTCTTTTTTCCCCTTATTCTTCTTTACATTCATGAATTAGTTCTTTGGAAAAAAAATACCCATATCTTCTGTGTTACTGCTTTCTTTTACTGCACATCACAGTGAATGAATATTATTTTATCAGCCCACTTGGCAATAATGACCATTAACTGATTGATAACTGATGGGTCTCAGATGGAAGGCTGAATGCATGCTTGTTCCAAAATGGCAGAATCTGCCTCTCCTTTTTACTGTAATAAAGCTGCTTCTGTTTGCAGCACTATGTTGCTGGGAGACTGCAGCTAATTTTTATGGTGCATATCAGTAGTAGTAATTCAAATTAAACATTTCATTGAGTAGGTCTTCTTTTTGTTTGTAAACTGCCTTCTGTAAGGGGAGAGAAATTTTGTTCTGGGAAGAACAGTATCCAGACCAGAGAATGTGACTGAATCTGAAACAAAAGCTCAGACTGTTCTGTTGATAACATCATTGTACTTCCAAAGTCACTTCATGGGGATGGTGACCCGGCTAAATTTACACCAGTCTGATAGTCAAGTCTATCACAGGTACTCAGAAGAATTCCAGGTGAGACAAACACATCTCAAACTGCTGTTTTTCTCTTTCAGAATCCATGGTGCAAAACTTCAGCATGTGGCGTGACTTTAAAGCAAAACAACAAAATAGACTGAGAGATTATGAATTGGAAAACTGTGTCGTTTTGGTTCACAACACAGATAACGGTGGCAATTTTGGGGCTGTGTAGAAAATGCAGTCCTTTTTAGAATGATTGTTGCACAGCTTGCATGTGGATCAGGATGTGCATGCAATTACATTGGCAAAAAGTGGGTGTAATTGGGCATGCACCTAAATGGAAAAATACATGTGTAAGGTAGAATCTGACTAATAAGTAAAAAAATCTGCTTGCTGAATCTGTACTCCTTTTCTGGCTAAAGGAGGTGGTAGTCCATTTTGTGCTGTTCACAGTCTGCTTAGGTTTGTAGCAGTGTCTTGTTTTTAATCTTGCTTGAGATGCCTCTCTAAAATGGGGGGTGTGTGTGTGTCTGAAGCCTGCTTGCTTAAACACGCGAGTCATGTCAGCTGCAATGCGGCAGTGCTTGGTGCTAATGAGGTGAGCAGCCAGAGCACCCGTCTGCTTATGTTTGCTCATCTCTGTGCAATTATGGCTGTGGGGATTGGAAAAAGGGATTTGTATTGGATGTGGCTCTGTTTTGGCCTTTCCAGAGTGTGGTTGTGTTCTCCTGAGGACTGGGCAGCACATTTCAACTTCCATTTTGGGAGTTACGTGGTTGCTTCATTATGTTTAATGCAAGGTCTAAAATACATCCTGGTTGGGAGAAGAAAAGAAAAAAGGGAAGTACAGAGAGGGGGAATCCCCCCTTCTTCTCTCCCCCCTCCCTCCCACTTCTCCCCCAATTAATTCTAATGCACCTTGAAATGAAATACATAGCTTCGCTATTGGTGCCTTCATGCAGAGTATATATAAGTCTGTATTTGTAATGTAGCATCTTTGGAATACAGTAATCAGGTAATAAAATTTGGTTAGATCTCACTAGTTACAGGTGACCTTTGGTGGGCACAAGATGCAGATGCACTGTGATTTCTCAGCTCACTTTTTTTTTTAAAATTATTTTTTAACACTTAAGGTGCTGACAGCAGTGTGAGCTGAGTATTTTTTGCTGAAGTCATAAAGTTTTGCTTTGAACATAAGACAAATAAAGTAAATATCAAACTTTTTTTGTCTTTTCCTGTCCTCAGATGCCAAACTGTCTCCATTGAGCTTGATGCCTTCCTGTCCAATCCTGTTGTATGCCTATCCTGTAGCTCATCTTTCAGTGTTTCTTTTTCAGAGAATTAGCCTGTAAAACTATAGGTCATGATTAAGTAATATATTGATCTTGGTGGCAAAGCTGGCTTTCCTTCTCATTTCTGCATTTGTCACAGGGTGCTTCCCTGTTTGCTGGTAAAATTGTTTCTGATTACTTAATTTAATATAAATCAGATTGTTGAAATGACCTGCTGAAAATACTGCTGGTTTTTTGTGTTTTTTTAAGGATCGTATCTAGTCTCTGTTACTTTGGCAATATGTTGTGTAACGTGGTGCCACAAACAGAGGGATCAATACAGCTGGGACTGGGAAAGGTATGAACTGCATCCTGTAGGCAAGAACCAGCAGTGGGAGGCAGGAACCTCCTGAGCTGTTGATACAGCTGGTGTGAGTGTAGTGTGCAGCTTACATCCATAGAAAGGGTGGAGTGTCAACCTGTAAACAAATGTCCGCCACCCTGGGAAGGAGCCCAAGACTGAGCCCTAATTAAGTCTGGTTTTAGCTTGGTCCCAGTTTTAAGGGAGTTGAGTGACATGAGTGAAACAGCACAGGTGACAAGATGTGTACTGGGGAGAGTTGTGTTTTTTTAACACTCGCTGTTGAAGTCTGGTATCTCTGTGATCACAGATAGTGCAGTATTTCTGCACCTGTTTACCTTCTGCTGGAGATCTTATGACTTAAGACTGGGATGTTTTTCTCTCTTCCTTCTTTAGGTCTCCGGGTGAAAGGGGAGCTCATTACTGCTTACCCACAAGTGGTGGTTGTGCGTGTGCCAACACCTTGGGTCCAGAGTGACAGCGACATCACAGTCCTTCGCCACCTGGAGAAGATGGGCTGTCGATTGATGAATCGTCCTCAAGCCATCCTCAACTGTGTCAACAAGTTCTGGACATTTCAAGAACTTGCTGGCCATGGTGTGCCTCTTCCAGACACTTTTTCATATGGTAAGGCTGTTGGATCAAAAGGGTAGCACAGTTGCCTAGACAACTTGCACTTTTGCAGTGCAAAAGATAAAAGTTTTGGAAATCCATGGAAATTTAAGTAGCATGAGGCTAGTTCCAGAGCTAAGTGTTGAATAACCAAAAAAGAAGTTTAAGTCATGACACCCACATTCTGGTTTTGTCTTTGTTGATTAGCTTTTGATGCCTTGAAAAGAGTACTTGGACTGTACCTCAGCCTTCCAAGCAACTAACTTTGGCTGTTAGTGGTATAATACTTTCCAGTCTTTTTTCCAGTTGCCCAAAACAACAGACAAGAGCGTAAGGTACTCAATGTCATAAGTACTACAGAAAACTAGACTTTGGTACAACCTGAAAATAGATTAAACTCCTGTATGAATAAAAATGTCTGCAAATACATCAGTTTTTGTGAAAGGGCAAGAGTAGCAAGGAGTACGAGGCCTTGTGTTCACCTTTTAACAATAGTTTGGGCTTTGTTTCTCACCAAAACAGTTAATTATTGTGCCTGCCTCTGGACTCTCTGGTATGTCTGGTTCCTGACACAGTGCTAGATCAGAGGAACCATTTGTCTGAGCTACACTGGTACTATTTCTGCTTTTAATTACAATCTATTAAATAACTGTAGATACCTCTCAACCTTCTGTTCCTTCTGGAAATAGCAGTGGGTACCTCCCTTTTGTGTGATTGAATCAATAGGCTTTTGTAAAGGGAACTTGACAAAATGAGAAAAAAAATTGACAAAACCATGGGTTTCTGTCAATTACTATGAATTACTATTTCCTTCAATTGCTGTGAAAACGCATTTGAGAAGAAACATACCCTTTCTTTATACATGTGGTTGCTCTAACGTCTTGAGAAAGGAATGGGTTTCTAATTTTTGGGGGGAAGGGGAGACCAGGAATGATGCTTAATAATTGCAGAACATACCTGTTTGTTCATAACTCCCTCCCACTTTGATTAGTGTCTCCCTCTGGAATTTGACAGAAGCATTACTTTCTTTTCTTTCTTTCTTTTTTCTTGTTTTAAACTGCAAGTATCAAGTTATCAGTAAGAGCTGACTTTGCCAAGTAAAGCAGGATGTGCTGAATGACATGTTACTCCATGACATGCATTAAATTCCATGGCAGGGTCGTGATGGCTGCTGCTGGCTTTGTGACCTTGTGTTTTGGCTTGACTTCTCTTTACTGCATGTTGTGTTAGAGAGGGCTTTTCCCTCTGTCTGCTGAATTTCCTCTTCTGTATTTCTTGTGCTGTGGTCAGCCTTCTTTGAATTGAACTCAAGTAACCTTGAAGTATCAACCATAATTGTGTGAATGGCCATTAAAAGCTACACTCTAAGGTCCTTAGAGATGCAACGAGATTAAAAGTTTGAAGTACTGCCTACTTCAGGATATAAGGAGAATGAGATACAGGCAACTTAAGCTTTCAGAGGGGGGAGGTGGACTGACAAGGTCTTGGTTGTTGCTGCTCTGTGGGTTATGCATTGTCATTGTGTTCCATGTTGCTTTCCTGGTTAGTAGTTTGGATGGAACTGTTACTAGTGTTATATGTCTGCTGTTTTCCTGTTAGACATTTGAAAAGATGGAAGTTGATAAAGTAAAGGTGATAAACTGGACCAAGATGGTAGAATTGAGGCATTTGGATATGAAAGATTAGATTGAGTCTTTTGGGATTGTGATCAAGAGGCCTTTGTCAATTTGTGTCTTCAATTCCAAAGGAAGTAGGTCTTAGTATCCCACACACCACAAACACCTTCCAAGTCTGATCATGCTCCATGATCAAGGTCCTCCTAACTAATGATTTTTCTGCATTATCTAAGCTGTAAGGGTGGGAGGAATGTGTGGCAATTACATCCCAAATTTGGCCACAGCAGACTGGTAGCACATAATGTTGTTGGTTTTCTTTTTGCCAGGTGGTCATGAGAATTTTTCCAAAATGATTGATGAGGCGGAAGTGCTGGAGTTCCCTATGGTGGTGAAGAACACGCGGGGTCATCGAGGTGGGTGTGAGGTCAGGGGTGAGGGCAAGGACTATTCTGAGCAGCACTCCAAGATTTTGTCTCGTCAAGGAATGAGAGTTAAGATCTGTTAGGTGTTGGACTTCTTTCCAATATATCTAAATTCTACCACCCTTGAATGCTGAATGTTGAATAGGCTGCAACACTGGGAAGCAGTTTTAGTAGAACCCAGTCTTGCAAAGGCTGCATTCAAAGGGAAAGTGTTCAAAATTATGGTGCATTGGTGACTTCTGTAAGAAAAGCTTTGAACTAGAATAATGGGAGGTCTGGGTTTCATGAAGTTGAAAGAAGCCTACATGGATTTTAGGGGTGTTTTTAAATAGGTTTAAGAAATGAAATCTCAGTTCATGCAGTGACTTCTTTCCTACCTAACTTTGTCTGTAATTAAGATTCTGATTTAATAAAATCTTACATATTGTTTGTAAAACGGAATCTCAGTTTTTCAGAAAAAGACCTCTGATAGTGTCAGTGGTGTTACTGCAGGTTCAGATTAAGTTGCTGTGTTAGTCTTTTAAGTGTTGAGTATATAAACAAACATCAACTTAATTTAGTGTTAAATAGTGGTTACTGAAGGAAACCATGTTTAAATCAATTTCAGAGGTTATTTGCAGAGGAAGTTGCTCTGTTTCTAATATACTTTAAAACAAATATAATAAATACTAGATTTATAAAGAGACTAAAAATAAAGATAAGGCACAAAACCAGGAGTTACTTCAAACAAAATCATAACTAGAGGACACCACTTCTTTCTCTCTGTCAGTTTGCTCTCACTCTCTGCTGCTCTGATGCTTCTCTTCTGCTGGCATGAGTGCTTCTGTAGCCATGTGGTAAATGGATTCAGGAACTGATGTTGAATGTATCTAGTTGGGTTATTTTTACTCAGATTAATTCCTTACATGACTTAGCACTTACTTGCCCAAATGCTTGTGTTGATGTAATGGAAGAGAGCAAAACGCTGGGGCTGAGGAAGATCAGACCTGCTGCTGTTAGCAGCAATACCTGTTAGTGTGGTTTTAAAGTGTGGGTGGAGCTCTAATGGCAAGCTGGGGTTTGATGTTGCAGCAAGGTAAATTTGACGGCTGTGGAATATTTGAGACAGTGGATTTGACTTAACACTGCCTCTAGTGAAGATCTACTAAATAATTATAGAGTTTTAGCTATTGACTTTGTTCTCCCTTTTTTAGCCAGGATTCCTGTAAATCTGTTTACAAGTTTTGCTTCAGACCAGTTTAAACTCCAGGCATTTTAATGCAAATTTATGCAAAGTACTTATCTTTTCACATTAAGAGAGTTGGGGAAGCTTTTTCAAATTAATCGAAGAGCAGCTATTTCCAAATTATATTTAAAATAAATAGACAAATGTGGTCATAGGTACTGGCTGATGAATAAAAGTCATACTCTTCTAGGCCAATTTTCTGCACAATTTGCTACTCCAGCAAATGGGCCAATCCTGGTTTTGCTAAGATGTCATGTTGTTGGATAATTTGCAAGAACTAAGTAGTTCCTCTCCAAGGCATCATTCTTCCTTTGCCATTTCAGGAATACAGTCAGATTATTAATTGCCTGTAGAATAGTTAAAGTTTGGAGTGGAAGAAAGAACATAGTGAATTTTAAGCTTACATTCTCATGTCTCTGTAATGAGAAATTCCATGTTCCTCAAGGAGTATTCTGTGTTATGGAGACCTTAAATCCTATCTAAACAGAGGCTCTCTAGTAGGGCATAGGAGCACTTGGTGGAATTCTTTACACATTATTTATCCTAGTTCTGCTACTGCTGCATTTCTGTTCTCTTACTTAAGGAGGGCAGTTTATCAATTTATGTTTGTACTTTAACACCATAACAGAACTGAATGCCAGTTCTGCTTCAAGAGAAAGTGTGCAGCCTTATTGCAAAACATAAATCTAATATGACATAGAGCCCTTAAGAAAGGGGAAAAGAAATTCGGAAATGTAGGTAAAGGTGGAACGGGATGCAGTCTAGTGAGACTGGAAATTGGATAGAAAGTAGTGGAGTCTGGTTCAGGGATGACTTTAACCAGTATGGATACAACTGGAAAAGAACAAACAAGTCTTTGGTGTACTCTAAAAATGAAAGGGAATGAGATTACTTACTTTAGATTAAAAAAATCCAAGTCCTAGAGATGTTTGCTTGCAGAAAACCTGGTGATTTGTCAAGAGGGTTTTTTTTCAGTTGTGGGATAATCTATTAATTTTATGTTTGTGGAATCTTCTTCTAAATTATCTTGGATACTGTGAAGTGGAACGTTTTCCTCTGAAAGTAGTTGCTTCACTGTAGACCTCATTCTGGAGTTGTGATCCCTTTTAAGTATTGGGAAGAGCAGCTCTCAGGAACTTCCTAACAGAGAAGTGGGTGGTTCTGCAGTGGCACACACTAGAGACTTCAGAGTTCTTAGATGCCCAGTGTTCAATAGTTTCATGTTGTTGGTTCCTTTGTGTCAAAGCTGTAGGCTGTGGGTCCTGTCCTCTTGGATGAACAAAATTGTTATTAATTACATGTTGGCTGCTCTTTAAGTATTTCTTCCTTGTTTTTTTCCCTCTCACTAAGGACTTGTACCAAAAGAAGTTGAAACTGCAAGACCATCTCCTTTATCTAAAGCTTTTTTCTTTTTCCTTGCTTCTTTCTTTTTCTTTTTTTTTTAACTCATGTCTCCTCAGCTCCATCAGTACTTGAACACTTAAAGCACTGAATCAGTGGAACACTGTTGTCCATGGAAGAATTTGTAAATGGATATAAGCTACAGATGGGGCCTCTGAGAATAGGCAGTGTGCCAGTCAGAGGTTTGACTTTTGTGTGCTGAGTCATTGATGCAGCTCAGATGGGTAGCTGCTTTCAACACCCCAATGTTCTTTCCTCCATACAGGTAAAGCTGTGTTCCTGGCTCGAGACAAGCACCATTTGGCAGACCTAAGCCATTTGATCCGTCACGATGCCCCTTACTTATTTCAAAAATACGTTAAGGAGTCCCATGGCAAGGATGTGCGCGTCATCGTAGTGGGAGGCCGTGTGGTGGGCACCATGCTCCGCTGCTCGACAGATGGGAGGATGCAGAGTAACTGCTCACTTGGTAGGAAAAGCATTGCTCATAGTTTTGATCGGAATATTTCAACCCAGTTGAAAAATCACAGAGCTGACTGAAATAAGCTGTAGGTGTTATTTTATGTTAATTGTGCTTACTGCTGGGGGTTTAAAGGGGAAACATGAGAATAAGGATTAAGTAAGAAGCATGTTGAGCAAACACAGAAGGAGAGATGATCTTTGCTCAAAGTGTTTGATAGATGGGATGATGACAAGCAGGGGAAAGTTCTAGAACACAAATGGAGCAACTGATGTGGTAATGGCAGTTTGATGCTAATGCAGCATTTGTTTCATTATCATTTGTTTCATCCTGTTGAGAGGAATAGAAAATGAAGGAAGACAGAAAGCAACACTTAAGGGGTGGAGGAGTCAGTCATTTGGCAAGAGACTAGAAGAAAACGTTAAGTGAGGAAGCTGTTGAGGGCAATAAACAATTGGATTGAGCTGTACATTTTCTGTGCTGCCTTAAGTCTGTCAGGTTCCTCCCTGCTACCTCTCCCACAAAGACCATATCTGGGAGAAAGAGGAGGTTACTGCATTGATTGTAGCATGCTCAGAACTGAGATTCTGCATAGGTTTGGGTGTTGGACTTGAGAGTTTTTGAGGGTAAAAGGAGGAAAGACGCTTGAGGTTGCCTGGCTGAAACTGTACCGAATATGAGCAGGGATGGCATGTGTTCATGTGTAATGCACTTTTGGTTAGTCAGAATGCCTAAGAGATTTTAGTTTCTACTTCATGCAGAGGAAATGTAGCCTGAAAGATTTTTCTGCTAATTTTTTTTTTTTGTTTCTTATTATTTGGATTATTTTTCAATTTAAGTATTGTGATAGACGAAGCTTGAGCCAGTTAATACTTAGTTGGTGGACTGTGACCTGATGAGCTGAGGTTCAGACACAAATGTTCCCTAATTCTTGCTTTAGAGTCAGTAACCTGTGATAGGAAGTTGAGAGGTATGTGAACAGATGATGATAATGTCCTAATCCCTATTCCCCTCAGTTATATCTACAGTTAGAGTTGTAGTCTTACCAAGAGCTCTAGGTTTAATTTTGCTGAAATATTTCTTGTGAGCTAGAAAGCCTCTTGAAAGCATCTTCCTTAAAAGGAACAAGGGTGGTTTCTTAGTTCCTTTTTTTAATATCCTGGGATCATAAAAATATGTATTTTTTTCTGGACTAAAATGTCAGCACTTAACTCTTTTTAAACAAATCATAATCTTGATATGCCAAAGGCAGATCAGAATCTTTTAAAATCTTGGTGTGGCATCAAGTTCATTAGTAGTCACTGTGGAAAGGAGTTTGCTTTCTAAGTCACCAGCAGTGTGCTTGCAGGCTGACTTTGAAGCTTCCCAATCAAAAAGCACTGCCTGGTTGAGAAGGATGTCAGTGACTTGTGACCTGAGTGCAGACAGCAAGTTCTTTTCACTTTTTCCAGGTGGTGTAGGAATGATGTGCTCGCTGAGCGAACAAGGCAAGCAGTTGGCAGTCCAAGTGTCAAACATCCTGGGGATGGATGTGTGCGGCATTGACCTGCTGATGAAGGACGACGGCTCATTCTACGTCTGCGAGGCCAATGCAAATGTAGGTTTCATTGCCTTTGACAAGGCTTGTAATTTAGACGTAGCTGGTATCATAGCGGACTATGCCGCTTCCCTGCTGGCCCCCGGCCGCTTGACGCGGCGCATGTCCTTGCTCTCCGTGGTGTCCACGGCCAGCGAGACTAGCGAGCCAGAGCTGGGCCCTCCAGCTGGGGCCGCTGTCGACAACATGAGTGCTAGCTCCAGCTCTGTCGACAGCGACCCTGAGACCACGGAGAGAGAGTTGCTCACCAAGCTCCCGGGGGCTCTCTTCAACATGAACCAGCTACTAGCCAATGAGATCAAGCTCCTTGTGGAGTGATGCCACGTGTAAATAGGTGACCAACAGAACTCTCTCTTGTAAATTTTTTTTTTAAACCAACTTGCAATGCTGTTTATCAGAAATGCTCAGAGGAATGAGGAAAGGGGGGTGGGTGTGTCAGTCAAGAGAGCAAAAGTAAAAGGCACACATGCTGTGGTTGCTGTCCTTACTCATTTGCGGAACATTAAATTGTCATCGTTCTTCATCAGTTTTACAGTGGAGATGCTCAGTTCGTAACCAAGCAGCAATTTTATTTGGATGCTGCTTTGGTCCCCAGATATATTGCAGTTCATGTGTCTTCACAGGCAAGCATTGAAGCATGATTCACACTTGAAGATTTTCAGAAAGTTGTCTGGCAGCTCTCTAGAAACTTCTGTGAATTATTGCACCAGTTAAGTCTTTTCTACCTCTCTAAGGCTTGATCCTGTAAATTGCCGAGTGCCTCAAATTCTTTATGTGAGTTGAAGGTGTTAAATACCAAGTATTTCAAAATTCCTGGACACCTACTGTTCCTACTCTTGTAGATGGGAGCTGTAAGTTCAGGATCCTTTTAAAGTCATCACTTTCTGATCTTGCAGGATACGGCCTTTCAAATGTTGAGGCTGAGAGAAGTATCAGTTGACTTAATGTGAACTTTCTGTAAAAATCTGTAGATTGTACCATCTTGGTATTAAGTGGCAGCTTTGTGTCTAAATTCCTTTATAAAGCTTTTAAAGGAGGATACTTCTGTTTTTCTCATTTCAAATCCTGATTTTGGAAGGTGTATATAGGGGAATTGGTTGTGGGCAGAAGTGGCACATTTTTAACTATTTTTGCATGGTTGGAGGAGATAAACAGCACTGTAATGTTTGGTATGCAAAATGATGTTTAATCTAAAAATGTGAAAAAGAATTACACTAGTTTAAAGCAAACGTGCATCAACTTGTATTTGTTAGTGTTTTAGTCTTTCTGAGAGAGATCTGCAATGTTAATGTTCCTTTTTCTTTAATACATGCTAGTCCAACACTCCCTTCTCTATGCCTGCATCTTTAACAGTGGCCAAAGTGAAAACACCGCAGACTGTTTGTTAAGAAAACACTGAGTTGTAGCCTGTACATTGGTGGGGGGGTTGTTCGTTTGTTTGTTTTTGTTTGCTTTTTTTTGGAGGGAGAAATGTGGTAACGTGTGGAGGAGGGAGGAGCTGGTTAAAAGTGATTAGTCATCTAGAGGAATTTTAGAATAAAGCTGCAGTTCATACAATACTTACCAGGCTTACTTTTTCCCCACTGAACATAAAAAACTGATGTTGGCATAAATCCAAAGAGTATAACTGGGGAGAAATATTCAGTTCTTAGCTTTGGAAAACGTGGCAGATTTTTAAAAAGGAGAAAAAAAAGAAAAAGAAGGAAAAAGAAAAAAAAAAAGAGAGCTCAGCCAGAGTTTAAAAAAAGAAGAAAAAAAAAATAACCTAGGTCCACAAACAATTAAGGGATTGATCCTAGGCCTTTACATGTGTGTGGTGTGAGTGCACACACTCGTGTGTGTTTATGTGTGCACAATTGTTTTCCTTTATTTTTTTTGAGGGTGTTGGCTGTTTAGCTCCTAATTTTTTGCAGACTTCCTGATTTTCCTTAATCCTTCTGGCTGTGCATTTTCTCATTAGCCTTGAGCTGGTTTGGAAAACAGATAACCAAAACAAATACTGAGTCCATTTTTCAGTCCCTGTCTTCCTCCTCCTTTTCCTCCTCCTTCTCCCTTTTCACTCCCCTCTTATTCTTGGGGTTCATAAAGCCCTGGAACTATATATATATATAAATATATATATAAAGATAAGCCTCTTTTTTAAAAACAAAAAGTAAAACGTTTACAATTGAAAAATCATCTTGTGAAAATAGGTTTGTTTGGAGGGGGGTTGTGTGTGTGCAATGCTGCTGTTTTCTGGATACTTTAATGGAGCATGTCCCATGTACCCTCTGAGGTTCTGCACTGCCCACCTCTGTGGCCCTTCCTCACCTCTCTGCTGCTCTGCTGTTTTACCTTCACTTGGACCTTAAACACAACTCACGGACACTATGCAGAGAGTCTTCAAGAGGCAATAAACAGAACAGTATTAACCTACTTTATGGAGGTTTGATCATGCTTCTTTGTACAGTTTGGTTTTTTTATTTTAAAAGGAATGTAATAAAATGGATTTTTTTTTTTTTGTAGAATTAAATATTATTATTAAAATCAAGTGAAAGGTTGACTGTTGGTGTTAAGCAGGAAGGTGGACCAGCTGGTCCAGCAAAAAAATGATCTTCAGCAGTAAAAAGGTATTTTCAAATCCTTCTTACTGAGCCTTCAAGTGCACAGGTTATACCTGAAGAATATAAAGGTCTTCAACCTCTGTGAAGAATTACAGAACAACAGAACATGAAAGTAACCTAATTCTCTAGTCACTGAGCAGAAAACTCTCTTAGAAGAGCTCTACTTCCCTTGCTTGTTTATCCAAGGGGAATTTGGGGTGGAGGGTGGCTCTTTTTTTGTTGTTGTTTTTTTCTTTTTTTGTCTCTTCCTTTTTACTGGTAGGTGCCTGCATTTCTTGACAGGCTGATAGGATCAATCCTTCCCTTTCTAGCTGACATACATTGAGCACATGTGGAATAACAGCAGGGAGTAAACAGGTGCTAGTTGGTATGCAAAGGCTTTCATGTTTCTATCACAGGAAGCATCTTTTAGATGAAAGTTAACTAAATATTATGGATTATTTTTCGGAGTTCTTGTAGTATCTTGTAGCTCACAGGAACCTTACATTTCTAGAACCCTTTCAAAATGTCTAGGTTACACCTCACAGTCATAAATTTCATGGAGTAAACAAAAGACTTTTTAAAAAAAGACCAAGTGGGTTGAGAGATTTGCAGTTTGACTCCCTTCTGATAAGTTGCTCCTCTGGTTGGTGCTTCCATTACTAGTTTGGAGAGAAGTCTATGCATAGTGGTCACAGAGGGAAACAGGATTTGAAACATCATGTGTGTGTGTTTGGATATTGGGTATTGATGCTGCATGAAAACCTTGCTTGAGGGTTCACTTGTACAAATGGGCACACTTGTCTCATGTATTTACTCCCTACTTATTGTTCCTGAAACAGTGAAATGCAAAGAATGGCCTGGGGATGCAAGGGGGCGGGGTATGTCTCATTTTTACTCAAAGGGAAAAACACCAACAAACCTAGCCTGTGGAAACCAGGCAGTGTTTCCTGTTGAAGGTGAACTCCACAGATGTCAGCTTTATACACTTTATTTTCTTCAGTTCTGTGTGCTGAATCACACCCTAAACTTCTATACAGTTGCACTAACACTACCTCCATATGTGGCTTTGGAAGCATGTGCTGAAAAAATGGTCAATGATGGTGGATTACAATGGTGCCAATACAGCTGATGGTGATACAACTATTTTTGTATATTTTAATGTTTGAAAGAGCCAGTTAGAAACTCATTTGCAAGAATAAGTTTCTTAAATTGCATCTGATGAAATTTTGTTCTCTGTAACACTGGAGATTTTCTTCTGTTCAACTTAATGTGTTTGTAAGTAATGTCTTGCTGTCAATGTATGGATTGTATCTTAATCCTTGTATTTAATGCTTTAATGTGTTTTATAAAATCTTTTCTTGTAATGTTACAACACCTTATCTGTAAAACAGTGCCAGTGCTTGATGTTTACATTGACTGTTACAATTTTTGTTCTGAGTTGATGGTCAGTCTTGAAGCCTTTTCTCCCAGTTCATGTACTATCCTTGCTGTGTGATATTTACTTGGGAAATAACCTCTGGAACATCTGGGTATGTCAGTCACAAAGGAGATGCTTCTTCAGATGTTATACTGGACTACAAAATCCAACAAATGAAACCAGTGACACTTGCTAAATTCCTCATTGCAAAAATCTGTCAGTTAAATGCATAAGGGATCATAAGGGCTTAGAGAGACTTTGCAAACAGATTGTACAGTATCTTTCTCATGGCTCACTCTTTTTGAGAAGGTTTATGGGCTTTATGGCTGGTGTGAGACACACGACCCACTCCTGTTCTCTCTATGGAATAGTAGGTGCTCGGACAGGTAACTTCTGTTGCTACTGTCTTTTTTAATTTTTAATTTTTTCACTGTTCTAGGAATTGTGTTAAACTGAACACTGCAGGATTTATAACCAGGTGTTTGCTGCCTTTTCTTTTTTTTTATTTCTTTAAATCTGTCTTAAACTTTGGATGATTGTTGGAGCATTCTGATGGTGGATCTGCTGTTGGAAATCTCCAAGCCTCCCATGTTTCTAATTTGAGTTGAAAACCTTTTGTTTTGTTTATTTGTTTAAAACAATGACACAAATTAACTGTGCGGATTTCGGGTGGGATTTGTTGTTGTGCTATTTTGGGTGACTTATTCTCCCTTTTTTTACAGAAATGTGTTCTAACAGTTCACACTTTGTTACTGTTCTTTGCAAAACTTTTCAGGAGCCAAAAAAGTCAAACAATCCAGAGAAAACCCCTTCTCCCCTTTCTGATGGCAAGAGTGAGAACTTATGAAAAATCCTTGCGAATGTTCCTTCCTAAACTTTTCCCCCCAGTAATGCAAGCGGGTAAAATGCTAAATGCAGCAGTTTGGTGACATCCAAAACCGACCTGTTGTCAGGTAAATTGACACTTTTCTGCTCTTACTCTAACCTTCATAAGTTTGCTAACTTGTCTGCCTTCCTTTCTTCCCATCAGTTTTGGTGATCCTTGTTGAATGATTTCTTTAAGCAGATTTAGAGAAAACCGTGCTTTACTTTATTTCCCCTCCTTACACTTGTTGACTTTTAGGAATACTGTCATTGTGCTTTACTTTACTCAGGTGAGACAAAAGTGAGTCCACCATGCAACTGTATGAGGGATAGTTTTGTAATACATTAATTCCACCTCTTCTTTATCATTTTTAGATTGTCTTCAAGTATATTGTTTTAGCTTAGATTTTTGAAAGATACGTTGCTTTCCATTTGCTAAGTGAACATGAAATATAACTGCAGAAGTAAGTAATTGGTAGGAATGAAATACTAGTACTAAGAATGTTAATTCTATTAAAATTCAATAGAGCAGGATCCTGTAAAGAGGAGAGATGGACAAATATGTGTCCTGCAGAAAAAGACCATTGAGCTGATGATTTCTGTTTGTGGAGGATGGAGTGACACATTTTATCTTGCCCTTACTGCTGTATCAAAGCACTTGTGCATTTTATCCTTCTCTGGTAACTCTCTCCCTTAATCTCAAACAATGTAAAAGTACTGGATACTTAATATTTTTTGCTTAATTTAAGGGGAGAATCTTCTATTTTACTCAGAGGTAAAATATCAGAGAATTGGAATACCCTTCCAAGTTGACAAATATTTACCTATAAACAGGCTTCCAAGTTTCCTGATGCAATATTATATTTCCTAAGACATCTGTAAAGAATTAGCACTTGTTTCAGATTATTTTTCCGTGTACATTAATTACTCCTCTATGCCATCATAAAATAGTCAATTTTTCAGTCTCAGTTTATATTTTCCTGAAAGAAAGCAAAGTTATCAACAATATAATAAATTGTAGCTTCAAGTTAAGGTGGGAGGGAATAATTTTAGAGCCAAATTTTGCTCTCAATTACACTGAGATAAAACTGGAATCACTCTGTAGAAGTCAGTGGAGTGATACCCGATTTCATTGGTATAATTGAGTGTATAATTTGTGTCTTTTAATTTTACTTGCAAGGTAATTTTACAAACCTGTTATACTTATGTTTCCAATGCTTTTTCCTTTCAGACACTCCCACTTCTTGCGTCTCAGCATTGGGCAGGCCTATTCCTTTATTTGTGTATATTTTTGTGCATCAGCTGCTATAGGACACGGGTGTAACACTTTCAGGCATGTGGTTGGGTGTCTTTCTGGGGTCTGTAATATTGTCTAAAAATTTTTTTTCCTCAGATTTATTTGTTAATTCATGTTGGATCACAGTTTTGCATCTCTAACCTGATTTTAGATATATATTGTGTGAAGAGTTTTTTGAAAGAAATACAGTACTAGTTCTTTGCAGAGTCTGCAATTCATCTTTGGTGGGGAGAGTTTACCAAAATGTACTGCATTTTGTAATAGTTAAAGTTTCAATATTTAATGTGGCTTTAAAGGTGATTTTACAGATAATGCTCCTTCCTCTTTATGGAATGGCTTTCAAAGCCTTGTGTTGATCTTGGTTGTGCGCAGTGCTTTGCCTAGTGTATGGGGAAACTTGAATAGGCCATGACTACTTAGACAAGGGATGATGATTATGTGCATGCTGAACTAGAACTTCTTCTATATGCCCTTCTGCTGCAACAGAATATTAAAACTGGTAGGTGGCAGCAGCAGCAGCAGAAGACACTCATGACTGTGACCTGAAAACCTCCAGTACTGGGAGAAATGGATTGCAAAATACTAACTGGAGTAAGGGGAATGGAGAAGAGAGGCAGAGTCCCAGAACTGTCCCTTTGAATGGTGAGTCTGATATACAGAATTCTGACCATCAAAAGACTGCTTGTAATACAAGAGGCACATTGATCTATCTCAGTTGGTGTTTGGTTACCTGATGTCCTAATTCTCATCTTTGATTGAACATTCCGGTTTCCCCTCTACCTTTATAAGGGATAGTACTTGTCTTAAAAAATTAAATTTCACCAAAATCACCACATATTTAGAGTACTGGAAAATAAGGTTGAAAGGAATTAATCTAGCCCAGTCATTCTCTGCTCCACAGAAGACTGTTCATATTTGTGCTGTTGATGAAATGTTTATTGTAATCTAATTTAAAAACCAAGGAATGAATGACAAAGATTCTGCAATCCTTTGGAATTTTATTTTATGAAGGTAACGAACATCCTTACCATCAGCCTCATAGGCTGAGCGCCCAGCTGCTTTTTTTGCTACCTAAGAGCAATGTGTGTGTGTGTGTCTATAAATGCCATGATAATAAAGAACAGTATTGTTTTTGGAGATTTCCTAAATCTCAAGGTAGCAAAAAAAGGTTTGAATCACCAACAGTTAAAATTCTTTTTGGAAGCGGGAAATGCAAATTATGTAATGTTTCTGAGTTAGTGGTTAAGAGTTGGTAGTGTCAGCTACCTCTTCAGTTCTAAATGGCTCTGAAACTTCTTTAATTGCACATTCCTATCAGAAAAACCATTTTGAGCATGCGCCCCAATAGTTTTCCCAAGTTACATATGTGTATTACTACATACATTGTAAAACTTACATAAACTCAAGAAGCTAAAAAGGATGAAGTAAAGATTAAATGAAGATTATTTTTGAAACATTTACTTAACTGTATTTATTAATGGTGAAGAGACCACTTTCACCCTGCAGCCTTACAGATTGTCTTGCAAAGCTTCCTGAGGAGCATGGACTCTTCTTTGGAGACCGCTGATGTAGACACCATAAGTAGTTATTGTTGCAGATGTCATCAGGATGTTCCACCGTAACAAAACCTCCATGCTAAGTAATTCTCCCACTAGAGATTAAAATGCTGACTCTCTAGTAGGATGACTGCTCCTTCTGAAAAGAAAATAAATGAAAAAAGCAGCACTGGAAGTACTGACACAGGAGAAGTTTGAATCTGGATCAGCTGATAATATGGAGAAGCATGTCCAAGTGGATTGGGAAAAAGAAATGGGGCAAGAAAAAAAACAATATACAGAATACAGCAGTAGCTTTTGTATTTTCATAAATGTTTCTACTTAATTTGCAGCTAAGTATTAGTCAATAAATTCCAAATTCTGTTTTCTCTTTTTATCTGGAGTAGTGACACTAAAATCAGGAACAACACTTATATACAGGAACAAAGCTGGATATGAATTTTGATATCCGGGCAGCTAAATAGTCTCCAGTGCACATCAGGTACCACTTAGGACCGTGGACAACTGGTGTGCTTTTCTCATTAGATTCATAGTTATCATACAACCTTTGAAAGTATTCTGTGGACCACAGGTTGGAAATCCCAGAACTGAACTTTTAGAGTGAAATAAGATTGCATGTGCAAAATGAAAAATATTTTGGATAGAGAATTGATTGCAATCTTAAATGTAATAGTGAGCAAAGTCTGTATGTGAGACGAAGCTCACAGAGAAAGGATTTTAAATCCAGTCAGGCAGAAGTGATGAAGAGAAATAATTTCTGATAGGAGAGGCAAAGGAATCTGAAGCCTATGTCAGTCTGTCATCAGAGATAGAAATGAGGCAGGAAAAAGCTTTTGCTGATCTTGAGCATTCCCAGCTGTCGCTGTAAGAAGGAATCTCACCAGACTTTCCATACATAATATATGCTAGACATACTGGCCTTTGGGAACTGGATCTTGGGGAAGATGAGCTGAAGGTTCCATTGATGCACAAACTAAATGTAGCACCTGCCTAGGTGTCCACAAGCCAAATTTAAGGAAAACTTCCTTTCAGTTTTCATTACAACCATGTAGCCTGCTTATCCTACAGCATAAGCTCTCCCCTCACACTGAAGGATTCAGGCTGACTGACTCTTCACTTGTCCTTGATTGTAGAATAGAATTTTTATAGTAGCAGTAGCTACTGAAGATGAGCTGAAGGTACTGAAGATGAGCTGAAGGTTCCATTGATGCACAAACTAAATGTAGCACCTGCCTAGAATTGGTGGTCATGTGGATTAAAGGTGTTACTGCACTGAGTTTACATGACAGTAACATTTGGGAAGAAGGGTGTTCCTCTGGCCCTGGACATGGGCTTGTTTGGCCCCATTACACCTGTAACCGCTGCTTCTCAGTGTAGTAGGGGAGAGAGGCACGTAAATATATGTAAGCTTTTTTGATGAGCAGAGACCAAGGTGTGACAGTCACTGGTCAGGAAAGAATTTTACTTTTTTTTTATTATTTTTTTTTTTTTAATTTTATTTTTATAAACAGGAAGGCATTTAGAACACTTTCAGATCCTCCACAGTTCTCCAAGTGTCAGTATAAAAGAGTTCTGGTTTTATATTTTTTTCTTTTAGATGTGACATACCCCTAAACATCCTGTTTTCTGCAGCTTTGATGTGGTAGAGATTTGAAGAAGACAGATTATTTTCCGTTCTTGTCATAGACTTTCAGAGGCAGGCAAGGGGTGATATTTGTGAAAGGAGGAAATAGATAGGTTCCTCATGCTGACTGAATAGTAGGTGATGGATAAGGCTGATAAAAAAGTTAAAATTCACATTGCACCCATGCAAGGCATTTTCAAGGTATTTCTCCATCCCTCCTTTGTTCCCTTTAGAAACAGTACAAGTGTTACTAGAATATACAGTCTGCATAGTAATATTATCTGTATTAAGCTCTGACAAGTCTGTGCATGAAGGGCTTATAAAAGATTTATGTGAATTTCTGTGTGTCTGCTTTTTTATTTGGAGGCAGGTTGCTGTATGCAGCTATGTACAGTATTCTGTCTTAGGGTAATAGATATTTTTTGCTTATTTGGAAGTAGAGGACTGTGTTTGGCCAGTTAAATATATAATACTGTTATCCATTTCTATAGGAAGCAGAACAGCTAAGAAAAAACATTTTTGTGTTAGACAAATTACAATATAATTCAGATTTTTAGTACAGGAATGAAAAAGAAATTTTTATTAAAAGATCATTGGCTTTTTTTTTTTTTTTCAATAAAGTGTTCTAATAGCAAGAAACTAATTTCACATAATCACAGTATGAGTTAGGTTGAAACAGACCTCTGAGACCATCAAGTCCCACCCATCCTTTGAAACAAACACCATCTTGTCAGGAAAGCCATGGCATTGAGTGCCACATCCAGTCATAAACACCTCCAGGGATGGTGATTCCATCGCCTCCCTGGGCAGCCCATTGCAATGCTTGACAACCCTTCTGTGAACAAATTCCTCCTCATGTCCAATGTAAACCTCATTCACTGTTGTAATGTATAAAATTAAATAATAAATTAATTCTTGCATCTGTAAATTTACAGGCATACATGCTAATTTCCAGAATTTATTAGAACAATCCCTCTTGTACAAATCACCATTTATTGTTGGAGAGGGAGGGAAGATCCATATTACATAAGCTAGTAACCCAGTTGTTGCTACCTCTTTGGCCAGGCATACGTTTCTTCTATGCAGTTTTCTGGAAACAGTGATACTGCTGGGTTTCCTTGATACTTAGTTTATTTGTGTTGTAAAACAGTTACATTTTGGGGAGAGAGGAACTGAAGAGGTGGAAACTGTCCATGGTGTTGCATATACTGAATGGGAAGGTGCTCTGAAGCAGAGAAAGAAGCCTAAGCAGTAGCTGTATTCACAGTTATCCTTTTGGTCCTGTCATACCAATGTAGTGGAAGGCCAGGAGTCCAGATGAGTGTTTCATGTACACCTTGTTGAGGAATGGGCATGTCACACTGACTGCAGCTGTATGTATTTCATATCTGTAAACATTTAATATACAAGAAGTGTGGTTGTCTAAGAGGGTGTGTGCAGTTTTGCCTCCTTGCTGCTACTGTGCAGAACACTGCCTCTGGTAGTCTTTATTCTCTGGATTATTTCTGTTCAATGGTATTGTGCATTAAGCCTGAAACTTGCATTTTGGGAGTTTTAGGAGGAAATTCGATGTGCTTGTGTATATATTTTCCCATGCATCTAACCAACACAAGGAAACAGAAACCCTGCCCACTGACCTTTACAACATTGTAAGGGAGGGGTAGTGCAGTTGTAATGTTATGTAGGAATGCTTATCCATGCCCAAATGGAAATGGTTGTTTATTGGATGGCAAGTACTGAAGTTTTATCAGTGGGAGAACTAGGCAGGAAATGTCTGCAGTTTGACTTTGCTAAACTTTTACACAATTTTTCCTCCACATGAAATATTTCCACAGGAATCTAAGGTGTGTGGAAGATGCTGGATCACCAGGTGCAGGGATTGAACTCTACCCACTGGAAAGGTAACAGGAACTAGATTTTATCTTCAGAACACAACCCATACTGCATCTCACTCTTTGACCTGGAAAGGCCTTTTCCAAGGTCAGAAGAGGAGTTTGGTACCCATGGCTTAGTCCTTGGTGTGTCTGTGTTGCAGCTATCAGGGAAGCCAAATAGGTGCTGGATACAGAGGTTTTTGTGGTTTTTTCAATGATTTCTGCTTGCATTTCTGATGTTCATGTTTTGGAGCAAGGACTAACTTCTTCAATGATTTATTTCTTTAGGTTTTTCTACAGCAGCAGCAGGTCATCTTTTGCCTCTCATGGGAGCGCTTAGCCTTTTGATAATGCCTCCTTCACAATGAAGGGAAGAAAGGATGGATCAACAGGGATGTGCAATGGAGTGATGTCCACATGTGGTGTTAACAGTCATGATGATCCCTATCCCACTAACTTGGAGAATTGAATAAAAAAGTTGAATCGTAATTCACGAGTGTGAGATTCTTTTTGGTACCTTTTGCACCATCTCCCCTTCCTTGAAGGGCTGGTTAACTTCAGAAATCAGTTGATACTGTATCAAAGCTGCAGCTAAGCCAGAAGAGTAAAACCTATTGGGTATTCTTCACTTTATTAACCCTTTTTTTTCCCTCCAGGAATTTAATTCCTAAGAGTTCTAAATGCTTTATATTGACATACTATATTGAATAATCTTCCCAAATGCCTTAGAAACTATAGCATCAGGCATTTGGTTTTATCAGTCATGTTACAAGTTCACCTAAGTCCCTGAGGGTACAAGTCTCCTGAGTTTTAAAAGTGAAGTCACCATACTGATCATGCTATACTTCATGGTCACTTTGGTGACTGCTAGAGAAAGAGAGAAGCAAATTGGTTAACCTACCAGAGATAATATGCCTTTGGATTTTGAAGCCACAGTGGCAAGGCTAGTTATAGACATGGGTATGTACATTCTTGCTGTCTGGTGTTTCTGAAGACAGCTAATCTTACCATGGGTTATAGATCTTGCACATGGCTCTCTTGATTTGTTGTTAGTGAAGCACTGTAAAGAATTAGACACATACTTATGGCATTTTCATGAGGTGCCTGCTTGAAATTCGTACAAAATCTACAAAAGTGAAGAAAAAAGGGGAAACGATGCTGAGTTGGTACATTATCACTAAACACCTCTTATCCTTGACTTTCTTCCTGTTCCTTTCATGGATATTCATTTTATGTAAATTTTAATTCCTGTTTTTGGTATGCTTGTTCTAGTAATTGACATGTGAACGTACCTAGGAATGTGGCTGGTAGCCCGTCTGCAGCTATGCCTTTGCTCCATTAGCTGAAGCTTATGGTTGATTTTTTTGCAAATCTGTGTGTGACACTTCTCTGGCACCTCTGTGAGAAGGTGAAATGGCTGCTCCTTCACAGTAATGGCCATTTAATCTCTTGTGGTTCAGTGCCTGTTTGTGTGCTGATGCATATGCTCATGCTTCCTTAAGTGCTTTTCTGCCTTAATATTTCATGCCTAAAAAGTAGAACAGCTGAGAACTTTCTAAATTCCTTCTTAGTTTCATATATCCCATTTTGCTAAGCTGCTTCCAGGCCCTGTATGCATTTCAGTTCTCTTATTTTGTTTTGTGGTTGTTCAGCAGTGTTCTCTATTCTGCTGTTTCAAGTTTGCTCCTCCTGCCTTTGTAGTCTTTTTTAATTTTTTTCCCCTGGTCTTTTTTTCTGCTCTTAACTGCCCCCACCATGTTCTTATCCTTGTCCCAAGCACACATGCACTTATGGTAGCCCAAGAATATACCTTACTCTGTGTCTATCACAGATAACTATTCTTTGTATTACTCTGAAAGCATGTTTTCCTTTTTTTCAGTGAGAGAAATGCTCTGTTACTTTTGGTAGTTCACAGCCCTAAATGTGTTAGAAGTAAAACAGAAATTAAAAGAAGTTTATCTTTCAGTTTAAATGTCGCAGTGAGTGAAAGTTAGCAAATTGCAATACTGAGGAGAAGGCTCCTGGCTTTTATCTTTGTTGAGAGGGATTGGTCATGCAATCCATCTCTTCATGTACCTCACTTAAAAGCTCAAATTCAAGAGCTGTGATCAAGAATCTGTTGGTGTCATGTGAAAGTTTTGCTTTCCTTTGTCTTTCTTATCTTTCTTTTAATTTAACAATTAAATAGTAATTGGATATTCATGATACAAGATTTTGATATTACTTGTACTGTATAGTGAAAACAGAGTAATAATAGTTCAGCACTGTTGTGCCAGCTACAGAAATAGAATACTTGTAAAAGTCTGCCTTGCTTAGTGTGATGAGATCTTGGGGTGGGGTATATTTGTATTGAGGCCAGACTTGGAGAGAGGTTATAATTTTGTTTAGCATTAGATCTGGAAAACCTCTGTAATTTGTCTGGACTGCATTCCCAGTTGTGCATGATGTAAACAGACAGCTATGTCTTGACCACTGTCTTCTTTTATTTTTCTGGGTCATTTTCCTTATATTTTGTCTTATCACCTTGGTTGCTTCTCCAATCCACTCTTTCTCTGTCTAGACAACTTGGTTTATCACTGTGCATTTACCTCTAGGTGGTCTGCAAAATCTAGGTTTGGAATCAGACATTGCATCATCATCTCTCTGACCCTCTCATCCCACGTTGTCATCACTTCAGTATTTTTCCAGACACAGCTTTGGAGGCTGCCTTGCTGCGATGGCAATGTTCAGAAGGGAGAGCATGCAGTGCAATGACCAGGTCACCTCTAAAGGCTTCAAGGGTTGGATCCTTGGGAGAGGCTGCCATGTGTGCTCCTTTCCCCTGTACTGACCCCCTTAGTTTAGCTGGTGGTGCACAGGCCAGGCTGACAAGCACAGGCTGATAAGCTCACCCCGGCACTGCTTCCTGGCTTGGGCACTTCAGCCTAGACATGGGCTGGTTGTGGAGATCAGCCATCAGTGGGTCACTGCTGCTGGCCTCTGCATGTGCCTGGTGCTGAGATTTGGGAAAGCTCCTTGGTCCTCCTGAGTGTTTGCCCTGATCTGCTTTGGATCTAATATCCCAGCTGGTGGAAGGGAGTTGAGTAAGTAGTACTGGGCTCCAAAATCATGTTAAGCACATTAGGAAGAGTTTCTGTCGGAGATGGAGTACACCTCCATCTTTTTCTCAGCATTTTAATTAAAAAAATAATTTCAGTATTTTATAACTACACCTTTGAGGATTTCTAATGAAGGCAAAAGTCTTCCTTCTAGTTCTGCTCATCTTTTCCTTCCTGGGGGGCATATATAGCAGCTGCTGGAGTTGTCTCTAGGGAAAAACCTGCTGCTGCTTCTCCATAGCCCCCAAGATGCAGGAGAAAAAGATAGGGATACGGTGATAGGGATTCTTCCAAGGGAAAAGATTGGGAGGCTGCTCTCTAGCATTCCTGGTAACCATCCATGTTCAGCCCCTTAGCAGTAACAACAGTTGACCCTAACAGTATGATATAGGAAGCAGGGAAGGAAGGGACAGTATCCCTTACAGCTGTGATGTCACTAATGGACCAGAAGTCACATTTCTGTGGGGATGAGGCAGCGTGGAGAACTTGTGCTTTTGGACAAATAAAAAAACAACCTCCACATTTTTCTAGTGCCTTCTTTCCAGACTTGTGGACAGTGCTATATTACAGGGAAGAATATCTGCTTAATCTTCCCTGTAACATCCCTCTGCACAGCTTTCTGTGGTCCTATATGCAAGGTAAGACTCTGAGGAAGAAGTACTCTCAAAATCATGCAAAGTGCTCTCTGCAGCCTGAATACTTTTGTATCTTGGATTGGGGATCTCTCAGCCCGATCTTAGTAACAGCTCGTGTATTTTGAAAACAGCTGAATTTTTGAGCAGTGAATGGAAATGAAGAATTGCAGCCCAGTTATGAGACTTCACTCTGGAACAAGCAACCCTTGAAATAGGAGAGGAGGCCCAGTAGAGGGAAGGAAATAAAGTGTTTTCAGTATTTAAATTTCTGGATTTTTAGGGATATTTCTAGATAGTTAGGGATATGTGTGCAACTTTCTGTTATAACACTTGGTTCTGATACCATCAATTTTCACATGGAGTCACTTCAGGTGAGAGACGTTAAAGGAGTCCAGCCTTGGTTAGCTGCAGGTGACTATTTGGTGTAGAAGCAAAAGGACAAGATGGGTTCCTAATGATGCTTTCCTTTCTAAACTCTACTCCTGTTCCTCCCATTGCTCTACTAAGATACCTTTTTGCATTGTGATTTGGTAGGAGGCTTTTTTGCTTTTATTTCCAAGGTCAACAGTTTTTAACTTGCAGATTTCTCTCCTGCAAACAAATTAAGCTCTTGAGATTGGCCATTGTTTTAAAGATACCTGTGTATCTGTTACTTCACCTGAAAGGATGAGGTTGAGGCACAGAATTACATTTTTCTGCTCAGTTTTGCGGGTTGTGGTTATTGTCCCTTTGTGCAAGGCAGTTTTGCATCACTGGTGTGGAGCCCTTGCTGTTTTTTTCACCATCTGAATTAGCTGTGTTTCATCGGAAGTTTAGTTACTCATTGAGATGAAGCTGGCATTCAGGATGTGTTACTACAGCCTGTACCAAAGATGAGCCTACTCTGGAAGGCAAATAGCCAAAGCAGATGACAAATGTGACAGGATACGGAAAGGAGCATGTCAGTAGCTATGAGTTGTAACTCATCTGTGGTGCAGTGACAGCTATCCATTATGCTGTAGAGTCCACTGGATGGAAAGAGATGAAAAACAACCAAGATTCTGTCTGTTGGCTGGCCACTATTCTTTGCATGCATCCCGTTTTTCACCTTCCTGTAGGGAATTACTGCCAGAGTCACACCGCATTTCCAGGTAGAAATGTTTGTTCTTGAGCAACTGTGCTCTGGCAGGAAGGGCAGCAGGGACTCACCTGCCTAGGCTTAGGTGCAGTTTTCTTTGTAACAAAGGAAACCCACAGTGAGCTACATGCAGCTGAAGATGCCAGCAACAAAAGTAAGGATTCAGCCTCAGGAATTTAGCATTGAAGACACTGCAGACCCATTTTTGAACATGTTTTAAGGCATCCAAGTCCCGCAAAATTACTAGTCATAGCCATCAACTTTTGATTAAATTTCCATCTCTTTCCTTTAGCCCACGTGATTGGTATTTAATGTCACTGCTTTCAGTGTCCCTGCAATGCACTGTGGTGCATTGTTTTGTTTGTGTAGACTTGACAAACAGGTCATAATGTGTTACTTTGGTTGCCTGGAGGAGTTCAGCATCTTTTAATTACGTGTTTTTGGAAGTGTCCTTTAACAGATGTAACCCTTAGGAGCTGGAACAGTGAGGATGAGAAGCAAGTTGGTTCAGAGGAATTTGGAAGCAGCTGTTGTGAGCCCAGAATGGTGAAGCTTTCAGAGAGGTAATATTCATGCTTATATGCAATCCTACTCTTGGAAGCTTTTTCTACAATTCCTATCTTCCCCATTGGTTTTGGA